CCCAAACTAACGCAGACAAGAAATCCTCCACCTCCACAACACCCACACCACCCTAACCCTCACCGAACCCTCCCTCCTCCGCAACCCCAGCGCTAGCTCATCCACTCCCAGCCCCCAAACCCAGACCCCCAAGCTCAACCTCCCCCACCTCGACCACCTCACCGCCGCCCTCACCGCCACAAAAGCCTGGCTCGACACCTTCCTCACCATCCCGCCCGCCGAGTACAGCGGCTTCCCCTTCACCGTCTTCGCGCAGCTGGCCCGCGCCCTGGCGGCGCTGTGGCGGCTCGCCACGCTGGCGGATCCGCTGTGGGATCGCGGCGGTGTGCGACGCGCGGTGGATGTGGTGGGGGTGTTGGATCGCGTGGTCGGGAATCTGGGGCAGGCGGCGGCGTTGGCGCGGTTGGAGGGGGGTAGGAGGGTTTTCGGGGACGAGGGGGATGAAGAGGAGGAAGTGGATGAGGGGGAGGTGTTTTTTCAGTCGGTGGGGAAGTATGAGGCTATGCGGTTGGTTTGGGAACGGAAGTTGGGGTTGGGCGGGGATGCTGGTGCTGGTGGGGGTGGGGGTGGAGGGGGTGAGGCGGTGGGTCAGGATGGTTCTGGGGCTGGGGCTGGATCTGGTGCTGGGGCTGGGGCAGGTGCTGGTGCTGGTGCTGGTGCTGTAGGGTTGGGAGTTGGGTATGATGACTGGTTGAGTGAGTTTTTGAATTCGATGGTGCATTGATTCTACCGAGTAGCTGGGGGGGTTTCTCTTCTATCCTTGGAGGAATTGGTTCCGGGTGAGTGATCTCGGTGGTAGCTATGTACGGTACAGAACAGGGCAGTGATAGCATCATCATGGATGGGAACTGGCCACTACTTTCCAAGGATATCCCCTCCCTCCGGCCCCGTCTGCGCCTTGTGGATTCGCTCGGCCGTCGTCTTGAACAGCCGGGGCAGACGCGTCTCCGTCTCCTCGAACGGCTTCCCCGTCGCGATCATCTCCGCCAGACACTTCGCGCTGAGCAGCACCACCGGCATGCCGTGTCCATTGAATCCCGCGCAGATATACTGGTCCGGTTTCTCCGGCACCTGCCCGATGTGCGGGTGGGAGTCGTACGAGTACCCCATGACTGTATTTGTCTTCGTGTTAGCATTTTTTTTTTTTTCCTCGTATGGGTAAATCGAAACTGGGGGCAGTCAAACACGGGGCCACTCACTCCCCGTCCAGATCTCCTTCACATACGCCCCGCTCCCCTCCCACCCCCGGAACGTCCTCTGCATATAATCATCATAATAATGCTCCGTCGGCTCAATCAACGTCCCATCGTCCACCACATTGTACCACTGCTCCCGCGCGTCCTTGAACGTATACTGCGCCCCGCCGACAATGATGCTCCCATCCGGCCGCGAGATCAAGTAACTGCCCCCGCCGCCTTCCTTCGTGTACACCACGTACGAGTACGGCAGGAACGGCACGCTCGACCCTTCAGGCACGGCGATGTGCGAGCAGATGCCCCGGCAGGGAACGATGTTCTTAGCGTACTGCGGCAGCAATCCCCCGGTGTAGGCGTTGGTCGCGTAGACGACTTTCCGGGCGCGGATGACGCCGCGCGCCGTGTGGATGGTGTGCTGGGTGGTTCCATCTTCGGTGGCGGTAGTAGTCACCGCCGTCACGGGCGTTTGGGCCTGCACGTTCAGCGCCGGGGACGAGGCGATCTTGTGGAGGAGGCCCAGGATGAATTTGTAGGGCCACAGCGTGCCTGAGGTGTAGGAGAGGCAGGCTTTGGCGCCTTTGACGCCGGAGATCTGGGTTGGTGTGTTAGCTTCATGTCATGTTCGGAAAGTCTGTCTCCAAAGCCGTGATGCTCTTCCCTATCACTGGAAAACTCCTCGCTGAGAGCATCTAGATAGAAAGGAAACAGTGTCTGGGAGTGAAAAAAAAAGAAAAGGGCAAGCACTTACCCCCTCCGCGTTCTTCGCCGACGTATAGTGCAAATCCTTCGCGACAGCCACCCCCTGCGCCAGCAGCTTCTCGTAGACCAGGCGGGCGCGCTCCCCGCCGTCCTCACTGAGGTACACGTTCATGTTGCGCGTGATGTTAAAGTCGCAGTCGATCTGCTCCTCCGCCAGGAGATCTTTGAGGGCTTGCATGTGCGCGTACTCGAAGTCGGCGATCTCGACCCCGGCGTCCAGCCCGTACCGCTCGATGTAGGTCGGGATGTGGCCGTAGATGTCGGGGCGGAGGTGGCCGCCTGTTTGATTATCACACGTATTAGCCAAGCAGTCTGGTTGATTTGGAGAAGCTCGGAGAAGCTCTGGGCCGCCATACCGTTGCGACCGGTTGCGCCTGAGCATATCTGTCGCGCGTCGAGGAGGGTGATTGTCGGATGGGACGATGGGGATGTCGTGCCGGCGTCGTGGCCGAGCTGTTTCAGGAGGTAGTAGGCTAGCGTTACGCCCGCGTAGCCGGCGCCGATGATGGCGATGTCGGTCTCTTGGGGAAGGTCGGGGGTGGTGCGGAGGGAATCCAGTTCGTCGAGTTCCGTGCGCCAGAAGGGCAGGATGGGGTTGTCGATGGGGAGGATGGGGGACATTGTGGACAGGATTGATCAGAAGGGAAGGGTGCGATAGCAATCGGAAGTGTGTCGAATCTCATTTGAGGGCCATGGTGCTTTGTTTATAAACCCGGCCTACTGGTCCCTCCAAGCTCTAGTGTTACTCCGCACGCAACCCCGAAGAGGGGCTGATTGATAACGGCGCTTCTCCTAATCTAAGCTTTATCTGCGGAGTTCGGAGCTGGCGGGCCACCCGCCACGTTATCTATGCACTCGTAGATAGTGCTATACCGTCAATGTCATATGTTTGATGCTTATGATTAGTGAATTGAGTTCCATGGGAACTAGTGGTATCTCTATTCGACCTGCTCATCCCGCTCGCTCAACATAAATCACGAAAATCACGAAACATACACCGAACCAATCATGCCATCTCCTCCCAGCCCAAAGCCCTTATTCCATCGCCCCGACTCCTGACGCTTCTTGCGGATGTTCCAGAAAATCGAGCCCTGGAGTCATACAATGCATCAGAAACCACTCGAATGCTTTTAGTAGCCGGCAAATCACTCACATCGTACACTTGCCGCAGATCGTCCTTGTAGATGCGTCCATCTTTCTGGAGCAGCAACCATGTCGTCCCCCACTCGAAGAGGGCAGCTCCCCACTATTATCCCACCGATCAGTATTCAGCTCCGTATCAACTCCGCAGCCACTGAGCCGAGGCAACCTCGTGACGTACCCCGAACGGATCCACCGCTACCCGCTGCCCATGCATCAGGTTGATGATCTCCCCGAGCGTCAGGGTCCCGTCGCCTTTCCGGTCATATTTGGCGAACAGATTCTCAAAGGCCTGCGGTACGAACCGGCCCTCATTGTCGATCACGCCACTGTCCGAGCCATGCTGAGAGGTTCGGCCTCGAGTGTCAGTTACAATCACTTCTCCCTCCGTGCCTCAAGCTTCCACTTTGCTCCGTCGAAACCCCGGGAATGCAGAAGAGTACACACCTTCGCCTTGTGGATCCCGTGCACATACACCCGGAACCAGGGATCCGGGAACCAGGAATGCGCCAACCGCGACGGGTAGGAGAAGTTGAGGTTGATGATCAGCATCGCCAGCAACGAGAAGAGCATGTTGAACCCCAGCTCCCGGAAGCCGACGTAGGTGTCCCAGGGGGTGATCTGGCCGTCGCCATCGCGGTCCCAGAAGAGGACGTGCTGCTGGAGAACGGTCTAGATAGCGGATAAATCAATCAGCGTCAAATAGCCTTTTCCGGCAGTCACCCAGCCGTTCGGGACTGCAACGCACATAGTCTTTGTTCTCCTCGTGGTATTTCGACCGAAGGCCCGATTTGGTCTGCGAGACAGTGTAGTTGGCGCGGGAGACGCCGGGTTGCTGGATGTGCGCGCCCGCGTCCGTGGCTACGGGGCGTGCGTGGGTGACGGGGGCTTGTTTCGCGGATACGGAATCATTCAGATTTGTCTGGTCGTCGGATGAGGGGGCCATTCTTGTTAGTGTTTGGGGGAAAGGGTTGAGGGAGTATAGATCTTGTTATGTTACTCTGTGCTTGCACAAGCGAAGCCATCCTGCCGGTCTTATAGGGTCTCAATATACGCGTAGCATGAGACTCTTTACTTTGTATCGACTCACGATGACATCAACTCGTGTGTGGATATCGTGACCTTCCCTTAGAACGCCCAAAGAAGCTGAGGCATAGCAGGCTGAGGTCTGTGCGTTAAAACAAACCGACCAATCCGAGAACCGGAAATGGAAATCTGGTGGGTGGTTCGACTTCTCTGAGTCGCATACGTCATCGGATCCGAACCCTGTTGCAATCAACTTGCACCCCAACCCGGGATCAAGCTTTGGGGGCCTGAGCTCAGCATTGTTCCTGTGCTTGAGGCGTTGGAAACGTGGGTGTGTCTGTTGGATCTACAGCGTTGTACAGTACCTTATGGTGAAACCAGGGACCCGTAGGATGCATTTATTCCCTTCCGGGGTGTGGAGATGTGTGGAGGTGTGTGGAGGTGTGTATAGTTTGCCGGATGGCCGCTGTGAAGTCGACGGCTAATTCTGGTCTATCACGCGTCTTGGGAGGGTATTGAAGAAGAATTGCAGACTGGTATTCTTCTGATATTCTTTCTCGTGGTAGTTATGGAGGAGCCTAGCATCGCACTCATCAAGCACCTGTTGTTGTAGTTAGGACTTAGACATGCTCGTCTGAAGCCTGAGTTAGAAAGGCGTGCCTTCATAAGTTGTACCCCCAGAATGTTAAGATGAAGACAGGTTTCTGGTTTCTGCTGGTTTATCTTAGAGGCAAGGCTCATTTCTCAGAATTCAAGTATCTAATCTCAATCCGTACTGCCAAGTTCTGGGAGAAAAGAACAATAGGGCCCGGGTATTAGTGTATGTACTGTACTCAGTGAAACTTCAAGTAGGTTCACATAGCGTGATGGCAAGTATATTTACAGGATAGGAACAGGCAACAACACGCCTAGCTTCGGGGTATAAGTGCAATATCCAGCATTGGATTTCTACTATATACTTTGTATACACAGTAGAGTCAATAGAATATTCGCAGCCCTTCTAGTACCCGTGGCCAGGTCAACTGCTGCACTAACGCAAAACTCTGTAGACTTCTATCAGAGCTTGGCAATTTGTCTTTGCCGATGCTTGGTTTCTACTTGTTATAGTAATGTCCTGTAAATCAGCACTTGAATGATAAGCTTGTTGCCGACAGAGCTTATCGCGAGCTTCTCTTTCACAAAGCCTAGAAGCCTTTCCATGAAGTGAAGTGCATCGGAGACGTAGAAGACAATGTATTATTCATGTGATAGTTTAAATGGCGCCGGCCTCAAACCAAAACATCCTAATCGAGAAAAGGCCGAGCCAATACTACTTAAAACCACACTAAACCTCATGCGGAAGTACCCCCTTGCCCCAAACCGGGTTAGTGCACGACATCATCTACCCTCCGCCAGTCAAGCTCAGCCCCGACCGACCGTCCACTGCACCTACTGAGGAACTGTCTGAATGACTACTACCTAGTACTCACTCTACCGCAGGGGCAGCAGCAGCAGCGCATCGCATCCACCCGCACGAGCCACCACAAGATACCCCCATTTATACAGCCATGACCAGCCCCGTCTGAATCACCATCAATCATCTGACACCAGCCCCCCTCGCAAGGCGACCTTTATATGCAGCTAAATCCCCGCCGTCTCGCGGACCGATACTAGTACTAGTACCCCAGCACCATGACCGATTACTCGAAATTGAAGGTCACCGACCTGAAGGCGGAGTTGAAGCGGCGCGGCATCGCGCAGACTGGTCTCCGCGTCAAACAGCAGATTATCGACCGGTTGGAGGAAGAGGATGCTCGCGAATCTGGCGGACAGGATGCGACCGCGGAACCGGGCTCCGATCGCGAGAATGCGCAGCCGCAGCAGCAGCAGGAAGAGGAAGAGGAAGAGGAAGTGAGCGAGCCTGCACCTGAGGCGGAGGAGGAGAAGGAGGAGGAGGAGGAGGTACAACAGGAGGTACAACCTGCGCAACCAGTCGAGCCGCAGGCCGAATCGGCTACACACGCGGAGCCGGTCCCCGATGAGACTGTGAAGCAAACGGAGACCGCGGACTCGACACAGCCACGGGAACAAACGCCGGAGCAGACTGAGGCTGCAGTGCCTCAGCTGGAGAGTGTAGTAGAGGAGACGACTGCCCGTGGTGATCAGGTCGCGGAGGAGTCGTCGGAGCAGCCGAAAGAGAAGAAGGAACTAGGCACAAAAGCGCAAGAGCCAGAAGAGAAGGTGGTCGCGACTGACGCCTCTGCAGTGCAGGAAACGACGACCGAGCCACCTGCCGCCCCGGTTGAGCAGGCTCCCGGAAACGAACCCGCGCAGGAAGCTACAGCCATCCAGCACCAAGATGCAGAGCTCAAGGAGACCGCGCCGCCTACAAGTATCCCTTCGGACTTGAACACAGCATTCTCAACTCCTCTTCCCACAGAGGAGCTGTTAGAGGATCGACGCAAGCGCAAGCGACGTAGCCAGAGTCCTGTGCCCACACCGGAAGCTCTGGCCATCAAAAAGGCGAAGGCGCAAGAGGAAGAGCCTCGCGTGCTGCTGCCTGAAGATCAAGGATCATCTATGATGGAGGTGGATCAGCAGGGAGAAGAAGGGGCAGCGCATTCGCGAGAACCCCCTGAGGCACGTGCTGAGTCTGAGACGGCGGCGCCAGGTCGGGAAACGGAATCTGCCCCGGCCGCTGACGATACAACCCTCGCAGCCAAGAAAGATGCCCCGCCGAAACACGATGTTCGTTTCAAAGGTCTCTTCGCGGGGCCGGGAGCCGACCAAGCCCGTCCGCCATCTCCTCCCCCTGATGTTGCTGTGGACGAGGCAGAGGTTGAGCCTGCCCTACATGCTGCCACTGCTGCGCTCTACGTTGGAGGCCTAATGCGGCCGATGCAGCCGGCGGCCCTCCGAAGTCATCTGGTTACTCTTGCTTCGGCACCGGACGCTTCCCCGAATGCTGATGTGATCCTCGATTACTACCTGGACCCCATCAAGACACACTGCTTTGTGAGCTTTACAAGTGTCTCGGCCGCGTCGCGTGTCCGAACGGCCCTCCATGGGTCCGTCTGGCCTAACGAACGCAACCGAAAGGCGTTGTTTGTCGACTTCATTCCCGAAGACAAGCTACAGCCGTGGGTTGAACGAGAGGAGGGAACCCGGCAGCGTGGCGGGCCCGCACCTCGATGGGAAGTGAGATACGACCGTACAGACGACGGTGTCGAAGCTGTGTTAGAAGAGGTTGATTCCCGCAAACCGGCCGCCCAAGCTGCGCGTGCACCTGACCTCGCTGGCTTCTCTCGTCCACCGCCCACCGGTCCCCGTGCAGAGGGTCGTGGTCCGACTCGACGTCCCAGTAGCCCTGGTGTCGCACGGTCAGATTCCCACCCGGGCCAAGGGTTCAAGCCCTTGGACGAGCTGTTCATGTCCACCACCACCAAGCCTAAGCTCTACTATCTGCCCGTGACCCGGGAGGTGGCTGACCGGCGTCTCGACCGGTTCGACGACCTGCTACGAAAAGGCGCCTTCCCCCGGCGGGGAGGGGACGAGACCCGTCGTATCACTTTCGAAGACGGTGACCGATTTGTTGACAAGGGGCCGGAGTACCTGGGTGGTGGACGGGGCCGACGCGGTGGCCGCGGCGGCCGAGGAAGGGGCGGAGGAATGGGTGATTCGTGGCGAGACGACCGACGCAGTCGATGGTAACGATAGTTTCTCTGATGATTTGGTTTCGAGTTGTTCTGGTGAATGTACGGATGTAGTCATCCGTCACGTGTACAGTAGTAGTTTAGGGACATTGCGAGGGCCAGGGGGGGGGGGAAGGCGAGCATGGATGTAAATTAGGTGATGACTGCACAACTGTGGAGTCCCCCACTAGACAGTGCAATGAACAATTCTGCTTGGCTGCCAGTTTGACTGCAAAAGAAGAGTAATTAATAACAAAAAAGAAACAATAATAATAATGAACGGGGCTGTGATGATCCGTTAGAAATGTGTTTGAATGGTATTCAATCACCAATAGACAAAGGGGGAAATGAGCGAGAGAGAGAAAGAGTTCCAGTTGAAGGCAGTTCCGGCTATTTCGGGAAAGTGGCGCAGCCCGCGGGCGTGGTCGGTGGGTACTGTACAGTACATCGATACCAGCTGTGATGTAAGTTGAGCTAATTTACCGCCTTCATGGCGGGGAACAATGGAGATGACGTGTATTGGTATGGTCACTGGTTAACTTTGGTGCCTGTGGTTCGTCATCCCGTCATCCCAGCAATCACAAAGCATTCCAATGCAAACAAAGTGAAATGAAGTGCCAGGTGCACTTCACCTGTGTTTCGTTTCATCTGCTTTCCCTTGGTTTTATGCTATACCTCAGCTATACTTATACTAGACTGGACTGAACTGCTCACTCGATTGACAGAACTAGTCTGGCTTGATTGAATACAGTACCTACAGTACCTACAGTACCCAACCTACTTCTTTCCGACTACGCAATACCCAGTACATTCGGATCAACAGTCCAATGTACCACAACCAGCACCATCATCTTCATTGTTCCCCAGCAGCAGCAGCAGCAGCAGCAGCAGCAGCATTGGCTTTGTCCACACCATTCATTTATTCTCCCCCTCTGGCCGATCACTGTTGATCCCCAGCCTCTCTTCCTCTCTTCCTCTCTTCCTCGCTCCCCTCTTCTTTACTTTTTGTCATTTCCCCCCCTCTTCTGTTCACTTATTAGTCGCTGTTCCTGCCAAGCAACACCAAGCAACACGACACGCAGCTCACGCTTTCTCGGCGCCTGTTCCAGCGAGGCAGAACATATCCCCCCATTACTTTTTGTCCGCTCGACCCACGATTACTATCCTTGCAGTTCCACCGGCGACAAAAGTGTGGACGGAAGTCTAATCTCGGGCGGCTCCCAGGGGTTCAGTCGCTCATTCTTGGGCCAAGCCGGGCTGGGCGGATAAGATAGAAAGTCGGCCGTGTTTCTCGCTCTCCATTCAATTTGCGACGATTTTACTCCCCCTTCTTCCACAATATCCTGAAGATCTCTCTTTTTATTCCCCCCCCCCCCCCCATAGCCTCTCGCGCTTCCGACGCCGCTCACTGTTCAGCTGTTCATTTTCCACTCCCACCCCCGAGAATGGGTTGGCCGGTGTGTAATTCCACCGCCGAGGATGAGACCAGTATGTCCCTTTTCGTTCTTTGTCCGCTCTTCGCTACAATTTGCGACACTATGGTTGTTGAGTTGAGCTGACGCGGATTCTTCAATTTCACTCGCATAGTCACGGAGGTCGACCTCTGGAAAGGCGGGATCACCTTTCACCAGCTGTGCCTCATGGTCGGCGGGGTGTTTGGTTTGATTTCCATGATCGTTTCCTTCTATCTGATTATGATGCATGCTACGCATTACAGCAAGCCGATCGAGCAACGACAGTACGTTTCCGCCTTATCGTCGCGCCGACCCAGAGTCACACAGAGCTAATCCTATCATGTTGCATCTCACAGTCAAATACGAATCCTATTGATGATACCCATCTACTCGGTCGTCGCGTGGGTCGGAACGTACTTCTACAAGAACGATGTGTACTACGATTTGATTGGCAATTGCTACGAAGCCTTCGCCATCTCCGCCTTCTTCTCCCTGCTCTGCGCCTACGTCGCACCCGACCTGCATAGTCAAAAAGAGTATTTCCGCGGTGTGGTGCCCAAGCCCTGGGTCTGGCCAATTCCATGGCTGCAAAAGATCTCTGGTGGTGAGAAAGGCGTGTGGAGAACTCCTCGCAGTGGTTTGACTTGGTTCAATGTGAGTTGCTTCGAGTTCTTAGTCGCATTGGTCACCAGCTGACGAAGGATCAAAGGTGATTTGGGTGGGCGTGTTCCAGTACTGTGTCCTGCGGGTCCTTATGACCGTTATCGCCGTCATCACGCAACACTACAATGTTTACTGCGAAGAATCGCTTAATCCTGCGTTCTCGCACATCTGGGTATGTGCTCATGCGCCCAATCGCTGGTGGACCTCGACTGATCTTGTTACCTGCATAGACTATGATCGTAGAGTGTATCGCTGTCTCGATCGCCATGTACTGCCTGATTCAGTTCTACATTCAGCTCAAAGACGACATCAGCCAACACTCTCCCTTCTTGAAGATTCTTTCCATCAAACTCGTGATCTTCTTGTCTTTTTGGCAGTCGGTAAGTGGGATATTCCGCAATCTACTCTCGTGGCAATCGATCTAAGTGAACTTGCAGACGTTGATCTCGTTCCTTTCTTCCGCGGGTGTCATCAAAGCGAGCAAGACAATCCAGTCACCGGACTTGAAGGTCGGACTACCAAATATCCTCATTTGTATCGAAATGGCCATGTTCTCGGTTCTTCATCTGTGGGCCTTTGCATGGCAACCGTACTCGCTTCTTGCGCAAAACTCCGATGTCACCGACTTCTATGGTAATGGAAAGGCCAGCTATCAGGGAGGTCGCTTCGGCCTCAAAGGGCTTTTGGATGCGCTCAATCCTGTCGACCTTGGCAAGGCGGTTGGTCGCAGTTTTCGTTGGCTGTTTGTGGGACGCAAGAAGCGGACGCTGGATCCCAGCTACCACACGCCTACCGAGGCGTTCGGACTGAATGCGACTGAGAACCTCACCCCACCGTACGGAACCGCATACCAAGGGCCTACAACGGCATTGAGTGCAGGGAGATATGGCAGCGACGAAGAAGGCGAGGTGCTTTTGTCTCATGCTCAACCCAGCCCGGGAGGACTAGCCCCGGGCATGCACGATGACAGTGATCCGAATCGCTTCTACTCGCATAATCGATTGAGCGGCTCGTCTATACTGGAGCCGCAGCCTTCGCACACGGCTCCTCACACAGACCCGTCCTACGAGGATGCATACAATCCGTACTTGGTCCAATCTCAGCACCTGGCCCATGACCCTTACCACAACGATACTCCTACCCCCGGAAACCCTCCGTATCCGGATAACACCACCGCTACAGCAGCCACTCACCCTCAACCCTACCAACAACCTCCCCTCCAAGAACAACCTCCGATCCCTCTTCCAGAAACATACCAGACCCCGCCACCTGGATACGATATTGAGAGTCATCAACGGAGGTAAAAGGCACCCTCCAAGCGGACTCCTTGCATTTGCATGAAAAGCTTTTTCTCGAAGCGAACCGAAGCGCGTGACATGACATGACTTAGACCTCGTAGCACTGGTTGTTGCATCTACCATTCTCTTTCTACAGCAAGCTGTCTTTGACGGTGTTCCACCCCGGTCACCCGTCACCTTCATATTGTCTCTATGGCGTTGGTTCTATACCTGTTGGATTGTTTGTCGTATAATACCCTCTGTTCTTTTTGTTTTGCTGGGCCCTCTGGCCACTGGCGCTTCATCTGCGTTATTTTGTTTCGCATTGTACGAGATCATGGCATGAAATATTGATTGTATCGCGGATTGATTGATGTGATTGAAGTCCTGTGTCGTCTGGTCAGGGAGTGGATCACCTCTTTGCTTGTATTCTCGTTCTCGTATAGAGATGGAGGATCTTTGCATGTACAGTAGTCTTATTGCCGCGACTCGTTGTGTCTTCAACCCGTAAGGATGAGTGTTTAGGATATATTCTCCCATCCCGAGCGTTTCATCTTCATCTTATCTACACACAACAAAAAAAAATCATTTCATCCATAATCTCATTACGTAGCTAAAGTATGGACAATAAGGGGGTGATCCCTTGCCTCTTCCGGGGCAAAGAAACCCCTAATCATTCCCTCAATTCAGAAAATCACTCTAGAATCCATCCCCGCCGGCCCCCAATCTCCCAGAGTAAAGCATCTCCTCCCCAGCACCACCACCACCATACCGCCCCTGCAACCCCGCCATCCGCATCTGCAGGTCCACCCCACCGCCGCTCCCGCCACCTCCGCCCAAACCGGACGGGCCGGATTTCCGCGCGGCCGCGGCCATGGTCCGGCGGGCGTTGTTCAGGATGGCGGTGCGTTTGCCCAGTTCACGCATGTGGCTGATGCTGTGGCTGAGCTGGCCGAGGAGGGCGACGAGGTGGACGTCGTTGGCCTGGGCGAGGGTTTCGCGGGTCAGGGCGCTGTTGGCGGGGGGTGTGAGGAGGGCGAGGTGGGAGAGGCAGGCGTTGATGTTACGGAGGATGGGGTGGGAAAGGGTTGTTGTGGGTGGTGGGGTAGAGGGAGAGGAAGAGATGCTGGAGACGTAGGATTTGATGAGTGAGATGCGGGATTCGAGGGTTCGGATGGCGTTGAGGCGCGTGTTGAGGCTGGCGATTACTGTTGATTTTTCTTTTCGTTAGTACTTCCTAAGGGGCTTCCTGATTTGGAGAGCTCTGAGGGGGAGGGAGGACGTACGCTCTTCTTCTTCGGGCGAGAGGAGGTCTGATGGTTCGGTTGTTTGTTGTTGTTGTTGCTGCTGCTGCTGCGGTTCTTTGCTTGATTGTTTGGCTTTGCTTGTTTGCGATGGGTCTCTGCTGGTGGTCGAGGGGTAGATGGCTGCGTTGCGGGCGGTTCGTGCGACGGTGTCGATGCCGATCATCTCGGCTTCGCCGGTCTCGACGGAGTATGGGAGTTCGCGGAACTTGATGCTTAATGTTGGTGGTGGGTGTTCCTCGCTGTCGACTTGCATGGTGTTGGTGTTGGCATTCTCGCCCCCTTCGTAGACGCTCTCGTAGATGGTGAGAGGCAGTTTGCCGCCTTTGGAGGATGCCCCGGCCACCTCGCCGGGGTGGAAGGCGAGAAACACCGCGGATTCATTGTGCTTCTCGAGGATCAAACGGTGGATGGGTAGGTGGGATGCATTGGGGCCCGTGGGTGGGCTGGTGGACCACCATCCGACTAGGTCGAGCGCTGGCGCTTTGTGTACGTCCTTGACTGAGAGGTTGAGGAAATGTCAGTTTGTCGAGACGGATAGCCTGAGGGGCAGATGAGAGGTGTACGGCTTACATTGCTGGACTCGCTCTGCAAACCAGCTATCCGGAAGTTGAGCCTCCTCGTTCGGCCCTTCCGTTACCAGACACTCGAAAGCATGCTCTAGGGTGACTTCACGGCCGTTCTGCTGGCCCAGCAGCGCTCCGACTATGGGCCCCTGCTGGCATCGGGCTGCGTGGCGGGTGATGTGATCGGAGATCGTGAGTAGGATTAGAGGGTGAAGTTGGATATGAAGGCCGGAGTCAGATGCTTTGGGAGATACAAGTGAGTCGGAATGTTCAGACATTGTGTGTCACGGCCTTGAAACTGTGATGATGGGTGTTGGTGATTGCGATGGAGTTGGCGATGCTCTCTCGTCATATCCGGAGGTACGAGCGGAGGCGCGGAGCTGTCCCTGGTTTGTCTTGTTTGCAACCCAGCTTTCCCTCCTCCCCGCGCTTAGCGGGCATGAATCCAGGTGCATTCATTCATCCTCCAGCAACGCAGCAGAACGAGCTACACTAGAAACAGCATGGCTGTGCCTACGACATTTGAGGAAGCCAGACTTCATTTGCAACAGATCCAGCGTGATCCTTCCACCAAGCTGGATACTAACATCATAGATAAGCTGAAGTTGGAACTGACGGAGAATACGGACCGCAATGTCCCCGCCACTCTATTGATACAGATCTCGGAGCTCTTGCCGGTCCTTCAGGAAGACCCTACCCCTCTCACGACTCTCGCAATCAAAGCCGCCGGGTATCTCTCATTCAGTGATCTGCGCGCTGTCGACCCTCCCATAAATTTCATTGCGGGATTCAAAGCGCCCTCCCCACCGGTCAACCTCTTGGCCCTGTCATTGTTGAGCAAAGCGGGTAGAGTCCCGAGTGATGCTGCCATTGTCGCCGGGGATTCTGAGCTCGTCGCATCCCTGGTAGAGCTGTGGCTGTCGACTTCCTCTACCGCTGTTGCCCAGGCGGCGTTAGACACCATTTGGACCTTGTTGGAGATTGACCTCGCTAGTCCGCTTGAGCTTGGCGAACATGAGTCTGATGGAACAACTGCTGGTCAAGGTCTGTTTTGGAGAAGAATCTTCACGGATAAGGATGTCTATGGGCTGTTATTCTCCGTGTGCAGTCTCGAGGAAAATGGGCCTGGAGGTATCTCGAAGCGTGATAAGACAGTGGCTCAAGGGAGGTTGATGGGCTTCCTCGTGAAGGCAGGGCAACTGCGCTGGGACATCATCACAGGCTCTCAAGTCGCAGATGTGGAGGCCAAGTACCAGAGCGACAGCCTTCTTCACTTCGCCGCCTGCAGGATGGTTGACCGGGCCGATGTGTTGATGCACATGACTCTGATCAACTTCTTCCACGACCTGCTGGCTATCGACGCGCCGGGCCTCATGGCCCGAATGACCGTACAATCGGCGTCCACCTTCTCCTCGCCAGCGCTTGACTTCCTCATCTTGAACGATATACACACTACTTTGTTGGAGTTCTACCTCGATGAGTCCAAACTGGACTCTATTGACCTGGCCTATCTTTGCGGTCCTATTATGTCCTACGTCGCACAGTACGCTGAACTGTATCCTAACCACCTTTTGCAGAATCCCCGGCATCTGCTGGACCGCATTGTATCTCGCGTCGCTGCATCTGTGGCAATCTCGTCCGCTCAATGGGCGCATGGGCCAGTCCCCAGCGGACAATTGAACGTGCTTTCCTGCTTGCCTCGAGTCTTGCTTGTGGAAGCCAGCAAGCAAGGCCTGAACGCGGTGCTATCTGTTCCCAGTAGTCCCCCGAACAAGGAGGCACTCGACGTGCTTGCCAAGGTCTTCCATGGCCCGGTCAAACCCGACCTGGCTGACTCGATGGAGCTGAACACGGCCGGCCAGACCCCAACCGACTGGCACCAAGAAGCAGCGGCCGCCCGGGTCCTCTACTTCCAATACACGAATCAGCACACTGAGTTCTGGACAGATGTTGTCGCGACCGCCGACATCCTCGCCATGAAGGATGTCTCCTTGGCCGCTATGTCACTTATGAAAGCGATCATTACCGCCAACTGGCAGGTGTTGCCGGCTGAGGTGCCGACCTCTGATCCTGGCCATACCAGGTATCAGCTCCCCACTGAACAAAGCCTGGAGACTCTTTCTCCAGCGGCACAGGGCGTCCTTCCGTCAAGTGGTGCCTGGGCCGCTCTGACACCACCGGCTCTTACAGTCCTCCTGCCCTACCTTTTCAAACCTCCGCGCTCGTACGCCGAGTTTGTCGGAGGCGGTGCCGCCGATCCACAGAACGCGGTGTGGAAAGTAGCAACAGCAAAGCATGAAGTACTGGTCGCTTTGTATGACGGTTTGAAAGAGAGCGGGGGACAGATGGCTGGGTTCGACGATATCATGCGTACACTTCGTCAACGCGTCAACGAGGGCCCATGGGGGCCAACCACTCAACATGGCAACCAAGTTGCAACTGTCGGGCTGTAATGGGAATCTCTGCTGCTTCTTCGTTTCAGGAGTTCTTCGGAGCACACTTAGTTATTTCTAGCGTCTTAATCATACTCGTACAAGCCTGAGACAAGTAGATCATATGCGACATGCAGGAAATCTCAGTACATAAACTCTTGAGATATGATTGGTTAACCTGGAAGTAAAATGTCAGGGCTCCCGCGCGACAAGCCCTTATTTCCTACTCCAGCGTATCTCCGAAGGCGGTGACTCCAAGCTCCGCCCGGAAGCCCAGAAGTTAGTGAGCCCTTGTACTTTTTTTCTCCAGCCGCGCCGCAGCCCCCCCCTCTCAAGTCATCTTGTTGCAACTCTTCCCCGCCGTCGCCCTTCGACCTTGGTACAGCATTACTGCCGCTGTGACGAGACGAAGAGGCTCAGGACGAACTTGCACTATTTCTCCACTCAACATACCTCTCATTTTCTTTCCACCATGTCTCGCTTCGGAGCCAAGAAGGGCCGCAAGCTCCCCGGAGCAGAATTCAGTTGGGAAACTGGCGAAGGAGGCGGAGAAAACGACACCGCGCCTACGCCTCTCTTTCCGGTATGTTGTGTCTGTCTGTCTGCCATTGGGAGGAAACCTCCGCTGTCTGTTCGAAATGAGGAAATTCTGGGCATCTGCGTCGGGTCCACTCTCAACATTCGTTCGTACTAACAACTCTTTTTCGACTTCCAGAAATACCATGTCCCCCGCGCCAGACCGTTAACCCCCCACGAGCAGATCCAGGTGGATCAGTACCGGTCGCTGCGAGAACGATTCCACGATGGCCCGTACTACTCCGTGCTGGACTCGGCGACCTCGTCGGCCAAGAAGGAGAGCGCCGCGCGGGCGCACTTTGACCCGTTCCATGGGATGCCCTCGTACTCGGGCAAGTATCAGAAGAAGATGCGGACGGTGCCTAAGTTGGTGGGGCGGGAGTATGGTGAGTTTTGTGTGCCCGTTTTTTCTGGTTTCCCGTGCTTGAGGCAGATTGGGGAGTTGCTTGTTTGCTTTTTTTTTTTTACTTGTTCGGGAGTGGTAGTGGCTTCTACTTCTACGGCTTGCTAACTTTGAGGGGGTTTTTTTGCTGCAGTGATGAAATTCTTCCCCAAGGAATTGTGGCAGACCATCCAGCCGAGCTTCAAGCCCGATGCTGCGATGGACGGGTACGTGCTGCGGATCGATCGGCCCGGAATCCGGCGCGGCTTTGAGGACGATGAGGATGAGGAGGACGACGAGGCGGGCAAAAAGGGGAAGACTGGAGAGGAGGGCGAGGCGGAGAACGAGGATGATGAACGGGAGATCCTGGACCCCGATGAAGAGGAGGAGGAGATCATGGATGATGACTTCGAGGATGACGACGACGACATGGGTGGCGATTACAACGCGGAGCAGTACTTCGACGGCGGGGACGATGAGTACGGCGACGATGGGCTGGGAGATGGTGGTGGTGGTGGCGGTGATGAGGATACGTATTAAAAAGCGGGCGCTTATTTTTAAGATACCCTTATATTCATTATCTCCTTCGATCTTATCAATCTGAGCGATTTATCGGTCTTTATGGTTTGACACATGTGTAAATTGCCCTTGTTCTTTTTTGAGACAATGCTGTTCGCCAGCAATTGTACTTAGGTTCCAGTAGTAGTCGTGGTTTTCTTTTCACAATGAATTTCTTCTAAGGTTGATGTTATGTATATTCAGATCATTAGGTAGAAGACGCCTATCAACTCAACTTGAAGACCCAGCAATCCATACCAGTGAAAAAGACCCCGAATTCCCCTCGCAGCGAGAGACCGATCGTCGGGATGACGTCATCCCGCTCTATCGGCGCAAAAGGCCTTACGTCCCGGAGGAGGGGGATCTCCCAAAAAAAGATAGCGAGTGAAAGGTGAGTGATTGACCCGAAAAGCGCAAAGTGACTCGCTCCGGTCCCGCTATCGATATCACCTTAACTACAGGTCTTGCGCGAGCAGCCGTTGCTTTCCCCCCCCACGTGCATGCACCAGAAGCAATGAGCGCTAGCAATCCACCACCCGCCCAACAGAGACGCTCTGCGCTCGTCCTCTATGGGTCCGAAACTGGCAATTCCCAAGAAGTCGCCGAGGAGCTGGGCGCATTAACCGAGCGGCTCCATTTCAAGACCCATGTTGCGGACCTGAATCAGTACAAGCCGGTACGTGCGGTCCCCAAATCGCGCGATGTCAGATGGCGGAGAGAGAGAGAGTGTGTGTGTGTGTGTGTGTGTGTGCGCGCGCGCACGCACGCACGAAACCCCCACGCTAATTTAGGAATGTTGTCTGTAGGAAACACTCAGCTCGTACACGCTGGTGCTCTTTGTGGTTTCCACCACCGGGCAGGGTGATTTCCCGGCGAATGCGCGATCATTTTGGCGATCGTTGTTGTTGAAGAAGCTCCCCGCGACGTTTCTGAGTGGGGTCAGTTTTGCGGCTTTTGGGTTGGGGGATAGTTCCTATCCGAAGTGAGTGCAATGGGAATTTGCTTTGATTGGGGTTCTTGGGGTAACTAAGAAGCTGATTGATGTTGGGATAGGTTTAATTGGGCTGCTCGCAAGCTGCATAAACGATTGCTTCAGTTGGGCGCGGAGGAGATACATCCTTGCGGGGAGGCGGACCAGCAACATCCTGAGGGGTGAGATTTTTTTTTTCCTTGGTCGTTGACAATCCGCCCGGGAGATGCGAAGATGCTGATGTGCTGGTTGTGATAGTCTTGAGGGGACATTTATCCCGTGGTTCACCAGGCTCCGTGAGCATCTGCTCGACACATACCCCCTTCCGCCAGGGCTGGTGCCGATACCGGACAACGTCCAGCTGCCTCCGAAATGGGTCTTGCAACTACGAGATGAGGCGGAGGGATTCTCGACACCGGAGCAAACCACAGAAAAAACCAATGGATCTTCTGAGCTGGATCGACTCGGTCATGATCTTCGGCCGCTGCCGGATACGCTGACGGCGACACTGACAGAGAACAGGCGGGCGACTGCCGCGAATCACTGGCAGGATGTGCGCCATTTGTCCCTGACTGTCCCTGAAGCAGTGTCCTACGTTCCGGGGGATATGCTATCCATCACACCGAAGAACTTCGCCGTCGACGTAGACAATCTAATCACGATGATGGGCTGGGAGGCAGATGTCGACCGGCCGGTGACACTCGTCCCTGGGCCGACTTTACTCTCGGCAGACGACGATGACATGCCGTCTCCACCGATCCAGGGTCTCGACTCATATCCCAGACTGACCTTACGCGCTCTCCTCACCGACTACCTCGACATTCAGGCCATCCCTCGCCGAGCGTTCTTCGCTACAGTGGCTCATTACACGGACTACGAGATGCACAAGGAGCGTCTTCTGGAGTTCACCAACCCCGAGTTCCTGGACGAACTGTGGGACTACACTACTCGACCGCGACGCAGCATCCTGGAGGTGCTGCACGAGTTCGACTCGGTGAAGATCCCGTGGCAGCATGCGGTCTCGGTGTTTCCGATCATGAGAGCGAGACAGTTCAGTATTGCCAGCGGGGGCGCACTCAAGCATACGGCGGAGGGAGGCACTAAGTTCGAGCTGCTGATCGCTATCGTCAAGTATCAAACAGTCATCAAGCGCATTCGACAGGGGGTCTGCACCCGGTATCTAGCGGTGCTTCAACCCGGAAGTACACTTCAAGTGCAGTTGCAGCGTGGCGGCCTGAACTCATCTGTCAACCAACTAGTAGGCCCGACGGTCTTGATTGGCCCTGGGACTGGAATCGCGCCCCTGCGATCAATGATCTGGGAGAAGGCCGCGATCGTCAAGGCGTACAAGGAAGAGAACCCGGGAGTTGAGCCTCCGATCGGGCCAACTCTGCTCGTGTATGGCGGTCGCAACAGAGAGGCGGATTTCTTCTTCGAACAAGAGTGGGAGGAGCTGGGGGAGCTGGTCCGTTTAAAGGTCCTGACTGCGTTCTCGCGAGATCAGAAGCAGAAGGTCTACGTTCAGGATGTGATCCGCGAGAATGTCAGCCTCCTCTTTAAACTCTTGCATGACATGCGTGGCTCGGTGTACATCTGCGGATCATCGGGGAATATGCCCAAAGCCGTGCGGCAGGCCCTCACTGAGGCATTTCAGCACGGACCGGAGGTGGAGACGGATCGGTTCAATGAACAGGGCGCCGAGCAGTATCTGCTGGGGATGGAGAAGACCGGCCGGTATAAACAAGAAACGTGGTGATCAGTGTGTCAGTGAGACCTACTGCATAGACCCTTGGGGTGCACCCTTGGGGTGGAAAACGAGACATGAGAAACCATTTTAGAACATACATCAAGCACGATGAGGTCATTTGTCTTCTATCAGCTGTCAATGGGACTGAGTCTCCAAGTACTCCGTAGTAGTTAGACATCTACCCCGACTTACCTCGGTTGGAGGCGGGATTGACACAGGCGGGAGAGATGATGAGCTCGGCCCGCCTCGGGGGCTTCTCCGCCTAGCGTCACCTGCTTTCTGCCGCGGATGGATTGAGAGTCTGTGACTGCTCCGTCGGATCGGTTTAAGCTACAACTTCCTCCCCCTCTCTCCTCCCCCTCTCCTGCCTCGCGCTCTTTACATTTTATCTTCACGAGCCCATCGGAATTGTTCTCACTTGGTCCAACACCTCTCACATAGCAATCACAATGGCCAGCAACCTCCGGATTCTTGTCCCCGTCAAGCGGGTTATCGACTATGCGGTGAGTTTTTACTTCCCTGCCGTGCTCCGGCTTCGGTGAGAAGTCGAAGTTCCCGAGTCGAATCTCCGCGCCACGATGCCCGCAGAGCCATTGCACTGCACCCACCAATACTGGAGTCTCAAGTTCCAAGTCAAAATCAGAATGCTCACATGCATACGACATGTCAACAATCGCCGATATGAAAAAGATAAACTAACAAGCCCAACCCTACTCAACAGGTCAAACCCCGCGTGAACAAAGCCAACACCGGCGTTGAGACGGCCGGCGTCAAGCACTCGCTCAACCCATTCGATGAGCTCTCGGTCGAGGAGGCCGTGCGTCTGCGCGAGCGGCACACCAAGAAGCAGAGCCCGATCAAGGTGGACCAGATCCTGGCGCTGTCGGCGGGCGGGCCTAAGTGCGCGGACACGCTGCGCACGGCGATGGCGATGGGCGCGGACCGGGCCTTCCACGTTGAGGTGGGCGACAGCCCGGACGGCGGGCCGGAGCCCCTGACCGTGGCCAAGATGCTGCAGGCGGTGGTGAAGCAGGAGAACATCAACCTGGTGCTGCTGGGCAAGCAGGCGATCGATGGCGACCAGGGCCAGACCGGCCAGATGCTGGCGGGCCTGCTGGGCTGGCCGCAGGCGACCCAGGCCAGCAAGGTCGAGATTAAGGACGAGAACGGCACGGTCGAGGTCACACACGAGGTCGACGGCGGCGTCGAGACCCTGCGCGCGCAGCTGCCCATGATCATCACGACGGACCTGCGGTTGAACGAGCCCCGGTACGCCACGCTGCCGAACATCATGAAGGCGAAGAAGAAGCCCCTCGAGAAGAAGACGTTGGCCGACTTCGGTATCGAGGATAAGAAGCGGTTGAAGACGATTAAGGTTACTGGTGAGTTTTGCTGGCGTGTTTTTATCAGTCAAGAGAGGGTAACTGGGGCTAATTATCTTTCTCTAGAACCTCCTGCTCGCCAGGGGGGTGGCAAGGTTGAGGACGTGGACGGATTGATCGGCAAGTTGAAGGAGCTGGGTGCTCTGTAAGGGTTTGTGGTGGAAAGGAGCGGAGCATTTGCGTATGTTTGTGTTTTGTGTATGTTTATGACTGACTACCTACCTACCTAGACTTGGTTCGGTATTTTTACTTTTTTATTCTCCGAGGGGATATATATCATTTTTTGCATACATTTTTCTTCGTTGCTCTTCCTTCACTCGAAACTTTCCACATTCTAGCCCTATCTATCACATCCTCCATGGACTACTAATTTGCAGATCCATCGGTGGCATGCTTCTCTTCGTCTCCGTCTTCTATCACGCGATGCTTGCGTGTCATTTTGTTATGAATCCTGCCTCATCAGCGTTCTGCGTCACAAAGTATGTGGTAGTCCTCGGATGGTTACTGCGTGGGCATCAGTGGCAAAACTGGTGTATTCCTCCAGCTTGAAGGAAACGCTCAATTTCGAGAAGAAAACAAAGAATGGTTCGAGTGCATCGACGGACAATGATAAAACAAGATGCTCCGTGGGATCCCCCTGAAATGTCCCGAAGGATATCCTTGCCACGCTTCCACCATGCGAATATAAAAACCACGGGAACGTGCAAATCGTGACTCTCCCATCTTCGACCGGTAAGTCTATCATCTCAGACAAGATACTTTTCCACGCAGAAGCAGAATCATTGTTCGAAAATTGCTGACTACTACGAAAATCAGTGAAATCTCCGGTTAAGAACAATGGCCGACGTGGATACGACCACCATCCACCTCATCGACACTGAAGATAGGGTTAGTAGCCTTGTCGATGTGATCAACGCACATCGCTTCGAGCCACTCTACATCGATCTGAAAGGTGTCAATCTCTACCGCGGAGGTACCCTGAGCCTGATGCTAATCTACCTGGAATGCACTAACGACATCTATGCAGTGGATCTCCAGACCCTCGGCGCCCGGGCCTTCTCGACGACCGCGAGTTCCCGTTTCTACGACACCACCAGCCTCCAAACCATCCTCGAGTCCCCCGAAACCCCCAAGGTCTTCTTCGGGGTGTGGGATGGCTCGGACGCGCTGTTCAACCAGTTCCAGATCCTCATCCAGGGCGTCGACGACCTCCAGCTGATGCAGCACGCCGCCTCGGGCGGGTGGCTGCGCGGCAACGGCCGGGTGACCAACCTCGCGGCGTGCATCAGGGACGACGCCGGGCTGACCGAGCCCGAGGCGCGCCGCTGGCGGGCCGACAAAGAACGCGGCCGCTCCGGCTACTTCTACATCGGCCGCGACGGCGACGACCACATCCTGCGTCGCCGGCCGCTGGACGACGACTTCCTGAACTACTGCGCGGCAGATGTCGCGTACTTCCCCAGGCTCCGCCGCCGGTATTCGCGCCCGCTGGACGTGTTCTGGAGGTGGATGGTGGAGCGAGCGGCGCAAGCCCGGGTCGCTGAGTCCCAGGAGCCCAGGTTTCGGACTCGCGGTGGCTGGCGCGGTCGGATCCTCGGGCCCTGGGATGGGCATCGGGTGCAGGGTCTGCGGACGAAGTTCGTCGAAGAGACTGGGGAAGATTACGAGTTTGAGAAGGGGTGGGCGGTTAAATGCAAGAATTGGCGACAATGACTTGTGAGCATACGGACCGAGCCTTTCTTGCGGTGAGGTTTATCTAAGTTCTTCCTTTCTACCAAATGAATGACTATAAAAAAGTAAATGACTCTAGAAATCAAACATATTGATCTATAACCTTGTTTTTCCATGCCTTTCATGTTCTGTAAATGTAGGTCTACGGTGACTTAGTAGCCATAAAGCCTTTGTTCGGCTGTTATCATTCGACACCCTGCATCTCTCTGAGGACATTTCCCAGTAGCTCTTCCTGATATCAATACTTACTCCTTTGGTAATCAAACCTGCCTACAATTTTCAGCCTACTTCCCTCAGGCAGTGTGGTAAGTACTCCGTAGTAGTTAACTCTCCCGAAATTCTTGATTCGATCAGAAACAATAACCAAGAAGAACAACACCCCACACCAGGTCTATTCATAGACGGACCACAACAAACAAACAAGATCAGCTCGAACGCACCGTGTACCGGTACGGAGTGAGTGTACTCCACAATCCCATGTCTCAAGTAGATTGGTCCCCTGCATTTCCCAGTCCTTGTTCTAGTGCGGCGCAGCCGCATTCTAGAAGCGCAGCTGAAAAGCCGCGCCGGTGCAGGAAGAAGGTTTGATCTCTCCCCCTCGTTTTCTAGAACCTTGTCTTGTACTGTCCAGAGCATTTCCCGGGTTTCGTGTTGATCGGTGTGGATAGGATCGATCGGGTTCGTGATCGGTACATTCTTGTAGATTTGCTTCGTGCGTGGAATGGATGGATGGATTGCTGGGTGGGTTGAGTTGGCAGATTGATCGATCGGTTGTTTGGGCGGGTTGTTTAGATTGTTGGATGGATATATCTGTCGGTGCAGGTTGGGTTTGCCGCGTGAGGAATGTGATGTATCGCGTTTGGTGTTGGAGTTGGGTTTTCTGGAAGAAGCGGGGTCGGTGCGTGGGATTATGGGCTAAGGTGACGTGCTGGATGAGGTATGGTGGCTTGCAGGGTTGGAGGGGGTGGATGGGCTGGAAGTTGGTGGTGGTGGTGGTGGTGGTGGTGGTGGTGGTGGTGGTGATGTATAGATCTAGATGAAAAGTACGGTATGTAGCGATGGGATTGATAGGTGTCCATGTTCGGGAGGAAGGAACTGGAAGGTGGATGGCATGGCTGTGGGATTATAGCCTAGTGGGTATAGAGAAAGAAAGATACGATACTCCTTTATCCATAATGCAGAGTACAAAGCTGTAGTTGAAGTGTTCCTCAGCACACCACCATACTCAGTATAGAGTAACTCTGTACAAACACTAGTAATTGATGGGGACTCCTGCACGGAAATGTAGTTCGGCGTTGTCTCGCGAATACTTCACCCAGAACAGTTAGTCCTCGTTGGGTTATATTTTAGACAAGGTTTTTCCTCGGTAGCCAGCAGGGCCGATGGCGTAGTGGGGAACTCGCCGAGCGTAGCCAAGGTCAAACGCCATCGGTCCCGCGTTCGACTCCCGGCGGGGGAGAAGGGAATAACGCCTGACGCAGGAATAAGTTATCACCCTCCTCCACCCGCCGGGGAAAAGAACTGGGATGAAAACCCTCGGGGATAAGAGGGGGTTTTCGTAGCACTGCACAGAGGAGTGGCCTACCAACTCATAGGTGGCTGCTCCTGCAGTGTGAGCTTTTTGAATTTCTGTTTTGTGGGTATCCTTTTGTTTTCTTCTCTGGTGTAGCAAATGATTTGTTGCGTTTGATGAGGTATATGAGGATGGGGGTTGGGTTTTGATTCTATATACTCTGCGTCTGTCTTTGAGCAGGTCAATACTTGCAAAAGAGATTCATAAATAGTGGCACGCGTCGTCTCACGGTCCATGCGGCAATAGTTAACTTCTCTTTCTCTTCTTCAAAGTATGTACGGATGCACGCTTTACACCTTCTATACTACAGCCCCTTCATGAAATAAGGACATCGCGAGGGCAGCAGCCGATCCGGGCATACGGCCATTGCTCCGAGTTCTTCGATGCTAGAAAACAGCTAATGGACTCGCGCTTCGTCTGTCTATATCTACAGCCAAGCTACTCAACATGCTCCATTTCCCATTCTCGGTTAGAGAGACTGGCGATGAACTTCTGCCCCGAGGCTCCCTTGCGACAGATGTGTCTAAGGGAAGGAGAGAATAGAAGACATCTACTGTATGTATGACCTACGCTGCACAAGGTTGGGGGGGTTGTAGAGTTTCGGATGTGCCGAGTGCTGTCGGCTGTCTGTTAGGGTGAAGGTGCAGCTGCAGGCTGTAGCTGTAGCTGTAGCTGTAGCTGTAGCGGAGTTGCAGTAGAAGTATCCGTAAACCGCCCTCATGACAGCTGCTCTACCTGTCTTAGTGCTGTGGTCCTGACGAGGGGTTCTGCTGGTCTGCACATACTGGTTTTGGTTAATTTGACGATGAGAACGCGCCGCTGACAGCAGTCGATGACACCACACAGCAACTCCCCACCTTCTCTGCGGTTGCTATCACGTATCCTAGATCCTGCATGAAGGATTTAGATTGACATACTATTGAATAAAGCCAAACCCACTAGTTCTCGTGTGCAAGGTTGATCACGAGCCACAGAATGGTTCCTGACAAGCGACTCCGTACAAGACCGGTAGTTCTCCAGCTGTCATGCGCCAGCTGCTAGATTAGGGCTAGATCCATCACCGTCGGATCGAAATCTGCATCGCAGCCCAGTCCAGAAAAAGAAGCAGAAGCTTCGGTTCGCATGACAGGAGAAGGTGGCGACTGGGGGCCCTTGGGCTCGGGGCCTGTCAGATTCAGATTCCCCGTGATGGGCTTTGGCAACTAAGGTATGGAAACTTCGACGGTTTCTGTTTAGGCTGTCCACGTCTCATTGTTTCATTTCTCGGCTTCGTCTGGAATGTTTCCTGGCTTTCCTTTCCATGTTGATAGAGCCGATCGGACCCCTCCGCCGGGGGGGATGCTTGTCCACTGTGCGGAATGTCTGGGAAATAACCTTCATCCCCGGAGGGAATCTCACCCAGATACAGTAGTTTAGGGTTCATCCCGTATGTCCTGGCTTCGATGTATCCTTACCAATCGAGTGGAAGCAGATTCAGTACCGGTAGTTTGAGACTTGCGAATAGCTGCAAGATCGATCCTCTTCTGCACACACACCTCCAATTACATAGTACTGTACCATCATTGCAAGCCGCAATAACCGCAAACTGCAAGTCCTCGTGCCTCCTCAACTCTCACCTCCACCGGAACGCCTAATAGACAGATGTGATGTGTACGATTCATTTCTCAGTTCCTATCCGTTCCGTTTTCCCCTCGTTCTAGTGGCAAAGACGGATTGATGGGGACAGAAAGTCAATTTCGATGGCATGTGTGTGTGGGTGTTTGTGGGAACATCATGCCCTTTCTGAGCCATCACGGGGCAATGGGTGATGAAAGCTGAATCGAAGATTTGGCTAGGGAAATCTGATATGTCGAGTTGTCTTTCGGGTTCTTGTTCCCAACTCGGAGGGACAGAGCTTATCTATCTACTTTTTGTTCGGTCTTTGCTCTTTGTTCTTGGGGGCAAGAAGAGTGGAGGGCAGGAAAGGGCATTGCAGATCGGGATACCGGTAGAGTCTCAAAATGGAGGATACGAAACAGGAAATAACGCGTGAGGGTGAGGATCTGGGCTAGACCTTTTGTCGCTGGGCTTGTTCTTTTGTTGTGGTTGAAGATGAAGATGAAGTACCGCCGCCACTGTCATCATGTCAACGCTCGTCAGGTTTTTTGTGGTTGATGTTAAAATAGAACCTGTCTTTGGGAGAAAAAACTGGATTCGGGGGTTTGGAGGGGGTCAACATCCCCCGAGAAAATCGGACAGAAAAATAGATTCAGCATGAAAAAAAAAAGTCCCCGGGTGAGGAGCAGAACTAGAAACTAGACGGGGGTTGTTTTTACGGACGGTGGACCACTGTCACCGGATCAGGAATGGGGGGATTGGACCTGTCATAGAAACCGGAGAGCAAGAAGGGAGGAGGGAGGATGAGGAAGGAAAAATGCGAGGGTTGGGTAAAGAGTGAGTGGTAGATGGATGAGTGGGTTGGGGTGGATGAATAGATAGATGCATATAGTATATCTTAACCTAAGCTAGATCCTCGCAATCAACACTAAACCGACTACAAGGGGGGGGGGGGGGGTGGAGGTAGGAAGTATAGAGACCAGGTCGAAGAAGCAAAACAAATAACCCTCTCTGGGTCCCTTTGAAGGTAATTCACCTAGGCGACTCGAGGAAGAATAAAGCCGTTGTCGCAAGGGGGGAGGAGAGGGCGAGAGAGAGCTGAATTAGGGGAGAATTAAAGGTCTAGAGGCTGAAGGCTGGGGTTGGCTTCACTCTCTTCCTGAAAAAGTTACCGCGATTGGATCTGTCAGATGCCCGTTCGCAGCGCGCGCGGGTTGGATACATCGACATCGCATCCGAATGCAGGGATGGAGAATATTGCGATGACGGTACTGCACTCTGTACTCCGCACAAAGAAGACTGGTGGCAAAAAAACAATATCTGGCGTTTGGGTGAAGAAAAAGACATTATCCGATTTTCAGGATGATTCTGCGAATTCCATGAGTAACTACTAATCCAGTTGGAATAAGTATAGCCGAAGGGGGAGGAAGGAAGAGACCCAGAAGGAAAGAAAAGAGGGTCAGGTTCAGGGACCCTCTTTTTTTTTTTCTCTCCCCTCGGGTAGACTAGATTACGGTACGTAGTCGATGACGATGCGATCTGATCAGCATGCAATTTCTGACTGCCTGGACCTCCGGTTCTTAGGGCATGGTTCCGGGGAGAGGTGGGTTACTCCAGACAAGACAATTGTAGTATTCTCTGGGTCTGGATGGTGTGGTTCCTCAAGCAAAAAACAACAACAATGATAATAACACCTTTATCACTATGAGAAAGAATGAGAAGAAGGAATGCGTCGGAAATGAAATCAAAATTGAAGATGTCTGTGCTGGCCGCGATAAAGCCGAGTGACTGGGGCTGGCTGGGGCTTATCGGCCGGTCATGCATGAGTGATGCAGTGATGCAGTGATGCAGTCATGATGTCTTTTCCTCTTTTCGCTCTCCTCATCTTCTTCCTTTCTTTCAACAACAACTCACTTCTCCCCTCCAGATGCTTCGTCATCTGCCTCAATTTCCTTTCACCTTGGTAAGCAGCTCAGCTAGCTTTCTGCATATCCGGAACCAGCCACGGCGCCACTTTCATGCTTCCAACCATGCCCTTCCGACCCAGCCGTGCTGAACTGCTGAACTGGTAGTGGTGCCTGGCCCTTAGTTACTCAGTATTCAGTAAGTTATGTTCATCAGTACTCTGTAGTTACCGGCACTCACGACTCTGTATTTTTTTTATGATTCTCTTCTCTCTGCCAGCTGCAGCTGCATCTATACCAATCGGTTTTAGCTCTTCTGCTTCTTACTTCCTCCCTTCTCCCTCCACTTCCTACTCTGTAAACTGCATTGCTTGTTAGGACTATTGTTTTTATTTTATGGACTTGACTTTTTCTTTTCTTTTTCTTGCTTGATATTTTCTTTCCCTCCTTTCTTCAACCCCCCAGCAACTGCATCCATCTGGCTGATCGTACATCTCTAGCCTAGCTCATCTGACCGAACCGGACGGATTCGACACAGTCGATCATCACCTGCCGACTGAGTTCACTTACTATATATCTTTGCCTCCAAATCCTACTCTCCCCTCTTTCCCCCCTCATTTCCTGTGCAGGATAGGATATACTGACTCCCTTCCTTTCATTTTTGTTTTTGACTCTGCATCAACTCTCTTGTCTCTGTCTCTTGTCACCCGGTAGCCTTACCTTACCTCAACAGGTCTTACAAATCCACTCCAATCGCATTGAATTGCTTACTACCCAACGTTGCCCGGCCCGTTTTGCCCTGGTAAGCAGTGCCTCCTCGTTCGTTCCGTGGTTCCCCTCTTAGAGACTCTCGTATGCTACCAGCCCTTGCCACTGGATCACCGGCTCGCTCGGTCTGGATCTGAGCGGATCTCACGGACATTTCCGTCAGTCGTCTCTGATGAGTTTTAATCCCGATGATGACCATGACCATGACCATGAACTGTGCTCCCTCTTCCCCTCCTCCTTCCAAAAGTTTCTCCGCCTTATTGCTTGCTTGCCTGCCTGCCTGCCTGCCTGCTTGCCAGCTCCATTCTTCTTCAGCCAGCTAATTTCCTTTGCGCCGCCTCTAGATAGTTGCTGGCATTCCTCAGACCCGCATTCCTCGGTTGTGTCAGCGACCATCGATAACTATCCGTTTCCAACTGCGCTGTATACATTCTCGAGTTACATTGGGGAAATTAAACGGCAACACATGTTTATTGCGCCCGCCGTCTTCGTCCATCTACCGTTGCGCTTGTGGTTATAGACGTGCGCTCATACCTCGCACCCCTTCCTGGTCACCCCCTCCTCTCACCCAGGACTGAGTCCTGCTCTACTACCAGTTGCTGCGCGTTTGGCGATCCAAGTGGCAGTCGCCGTTGAGTCGCCACAATGCCTTCCACCTTTTGGGAGCGGACGAAAGGGACGTCTAAGAAAGGATTCGACAAGGCATGGCACACCCTCGACAAACTGGGGGATCCCGTCAATCGACTCTCCAATCGAGTCGGTGCAGAGGCCTTCTGGCCCATGGCCATTGACAAAGAGAGCGACAAGGCAGCGCGCATCTTACGAAGCTTCTGCAAGGATGGCTTTTACAGCGAGGAGGATGCGGATCGCCAGAGTACCGACAGCGCGGCCAACCCGACGACCGGCAAGATCGACCGTCCCAAAGGCAAGCAACGAGTCCTCAAGAAAATCCCTTCGAGAGTCATCCAGCAGGCCAAAGGCCTCGCCATCTTCACCACTATGCGCACGGGTCTCTGGCTAAGCGGCTCAGGCGGAAGCGGTGTTCTTCTGGCACGGATACCTGAAACAGACGAGTGGAGTCCTCCGTCGGGCATCATGCTGCATACGGCGGGCATTGGGTTCCTAGCCGGAGTGGATATATATGATTGTGTGGTCGTCATCAATACATACGAAGCGCTAGAAGCATTCAAGAAAGTTCGCTGCACCCTCGGTGGAGAAGTAAGTGCCTCCGCCGGTCCGGTTGGCATGGGTGGTGTTTTGGAGTCAGAAGTCCACAAGCGACAAGCCCCGATCTGGACCTACATGAAAAGTCGGGGGTTGTATGCGGGTGTCCAGGTCGATGGAACGATCATCATCGAGCGAAGCGATGAAAACGAACGATTCTACGGCGAGCGCATATCAGTGACGGATATCCTGGCTGGCAAGGCCAAAAACCCTCCTGCATCGATTCAAACACTGATGCAAACCATCAAGGCCGCCCAAGGAGATGCTAATGTGGATGAAGCCCTCTTGCCACCTCCAGGGGAGGCTCCCGGCGATGTCGAAGTCGGCCCTGCGATCGGCTCCTTTGGCGTACCTGATCCAGAGGATCCCGATCCGTTTGGTGTAAAGGCATTAGAAGCGGAGGGTCTTTTCATTCGCGAGGCTGGTTCGCGAAGCAGACCGTCGCAGGAGGCCTTCGAATTCAAACCCGCCCCAAGCAGTCCTGTGTATGCCACCTTCCGCCGCAGTCTCGATAGCTCACCCCGCAGCAGCTGGCGCGCGAGTGTGCAGAGCTACGCCAGCATAGATCGAGGGACCCAGACAGATGATGGTCCGGCTACAGCGCCACCTTCTGTCAGTCGCGCCTCTTCCAGGAGTTATCGAGATCACGAGGAGTCCCGTTTGGGTGCTGTTATCCCCGAACATGGCGAATATCATATTCCCACAGACGCTCCGGTCGCCGCCGAAGAAGAAGACGACTTGGTGGACGATGACGATCTCGAGGTGCACGAAGTCAGCAGTGCAACGGTCTCCAAGCGAGAAAGCACCGCCCAGTCCCCGGTTTCCATTGAAGACTCAACAATGCCTTCCGAACTTCGACGTTACTCACCCACCTTCACGCGTGCCCGGTTGGTAACCATTCCCAAGCGCGTCCCACCTGCGCTTCCACCCCGAAACCCCTCGCGTACTCCTGGTTCTATCTCAACTTCGACCCCCACTTCCCCGACCTCTTTTTCCCGCTCCCACAGTCGTCGCCGGTCTGTGGCCTCGAGCCCTGGACGCTCTGGAATGATTGGGCTTACCGAACTACCCCTGCACTCCCTGTCTGACGACTCGCTCAGTGACTCCTCGTCCAACGCAGCGGCGGAGTCGTACAACAAGACATCACCTGACCGGGAGGATTTCCACTCCGTGTCCAGCCTCCACGACTCGGATGCCGCTTCGGAAACAGAAGCCAGCATCAAGGAGATTGATGCCAAGTCTGACTTGCCGGTCATTGCTGCCGCCGACAAGGCTGAACTTGCAAAGACACTTGCTTCCGATACAGATGTCAAGGGCGCAGCAGCGGCATCCTCTCACCTTGCATGAAGATGCGTCACAACCTTGCTTTCATCAGCGTTTCACTTCAAAAAGACTTTGCTTTCGTCTGTATATATATATATCCTTCAGGCACATGCTTGGGACGGTGGTCCTCTCATATGACACCGATTGACCTGCAAGGCACCTAATATCGGTCCTCGCGATCTTTCTATGTCTGTGACTTTATTTATGCCCTTCGTTGTCAATTTTGCAGCATGTTTGGTGTTGATGGACTGGCTATGGGATACCTGGGCGCCTTGGCTTTTTTTTTTTTCTCTTGAATGGAATCAGGATTTGGGCTGGAAGCCATTGATTGCTCTGGGAAGGATAGCCAGCGCTGGGACTTGGCGCTTGTGCTGATTCGGATATTCTTCTTCTTTCATCTCTCTTGATTTCTCTTTTTTTGCGGCCTGTCATTTTATTATATCCCATCAGTTCACTCTTCTCAATTGTTGCTTCTTGTCATATACAAAGCCTGTGGATAGCCTATCTATATCACGGTATGACTTTACTTTGACTTGACCTGAGACCCACTGTTTGATGGGGTAGCTGGAACCATACTTCATCACAAACAAACTTTATAGTAAACAAGTAAACACCAAACTTCGTATCGCCCACTTCATCAAGCAATGTTCTTCAGAAACCTGCAGCAGGCGGCAATCAACAGTCAGCGGCTGACGGCGGGGAGATCCGACCGCCGTTCACTGGCAGGATTACTGGCAGGACTGCAGGCAACACTTGATTTGGTTAAGCACTGCAGCTAAGGGACCTACTAATCAGCCCTCAATCTATCCATTTGGAGCTAAAAGATTGCACCATCCCCATGGATCCTTATAAGAAGCTGCCTGCTGGTCAATTTGACCTTCTTCTGCTCCCGAAACTCTCCAGCTGAGACCAATGCTTTCTCTTCGTGCTGTGGTTGTGGGCTCCGCCCTCGCCTGTACTGCGGCCGGCCAGTTCTTCCCTCCTAAGCCTGAAGGTGTCACGGTCATCGATTCAAAGCAATACGAAGGTGTCCAAATCTCCTACAAAGATGTATGCTCCCAATGGAAACACAAATGAAGCGTCAAGCCACATGCTGACTTATCTACCAGCCTGGAATCTGTGAGACCACGCCTGGGGTCAAATCGTACTCCGGCTATGTTCACCTTCCCCCGGGTACCCTCACTGAGCTCGGGGTGGACCAAAAATACCCCATCAACACCTACTTCTGGTTCTTCGAATCGCGGAACAACCCTGCCACCGCTCCTCTCTCGATTTGGATGAATGGCGGTCCTGGCGGGTCGTCCATCATTGGGTTGCTGCAGGAGAACGGGCCGTGTGTTGTCAACAAGGATTCCAATTCAACGGAGCTTAACCCTTGGTCATGGAACAACTATGCCAACCTGCTCTACATTGACCAGCCGGTTCACACAGGTTTTAGCTATGATGTGGCCGTAAATGGTACCTTTGATGCTCTCACCGGTGACTGGGATGTCTCTGGCCTGGAGGATGGGATGCCCGAGCAGAATAATACCTTTTACGTGGGCACATTTCCCAGCATGAACAATCAGACCACAATCAACGGGACTGTGAATGCCGCCCGCGCCTTGTGGGTGTTTGCCCAGACGTGGTTCTCGGAATTCCCCGAGTACAGGCCCCATGATGACCGCGTCAGCATCTGGACCGAGTCATATGGCGGTCGCTACGGCCCGGCGTTTGCAGCGTTCTTTCAGGATCAGAATGACAAAATCGCCAACAGCACCCTGTCCGGCCATCCGATCCACCTCGACACTCTGGGCATCATCAATGGCTGCATCGACCTGCTGGTCCAAGCGCCGAGCTTTCCCGGGATCGCCTACAATAACACCTACGGCATACAAGCCCTCAACCAGACCATCTACGAGGCTGCCATGCAGGCCTGGAGTAAACCGGGCGGATGCAAGGACCAAATCATCGAGTGCCGGGCGGTAGGCGCCGAGGGGGACCCGGAGATGCACGGCAACAACGAAACCGTCAACCGGGTCTGCCAGGATGCGGACGCCTACTGCATCGATGAAGTCAAGGGCGTCTTCCACAAATACTCCGACCGTGGCTACTACGACTTTGCGCATTCGGCGCAGGACCCCTTCCCGGAGCCGTACTTCATCGGGTACCTGAACCAGCACTGGGTGCAGGCCGCGCTGGGGGTGCCGGTCAACTACACCCGCTCCGCGGAGAGCATCTGGGAGGCGTTCCGGTCGACGGGCGACTACGCGCGCTCGGACCGCCGCGGCCTGATCGAGGATCTCGGCTACGTGCTGGACACCGGCGTCAAGGTGGCCCTGGTCTACGGGGACCGGGATTTCGCCTGCCCCTGGACCGGCGGGGAGGAGGTCAGCAAGCTGGTCGAGTACGCCGGGGCGGAGCGGTTCCGGTCGGCGGGCTATGCGGAGCTGCGGACGAACTCCTCGTACGTGGGTGGCATGGTGCGGCAGTCTGGCAACTTTTCGTACACGCGGGTCTACCAGGCTGGGCACGAGGTCCCCGCCTACCAGCCCCAGACGGCGTACGAGATCTTCCACCGGGCGCTGTTCAATCGGGATCTGGCGACGGGGAAGATCTCGACGGTCAAGAATCCGGGCTACCGGAGCCAGGGGCCGCAGTCGACGTGGAGTATCAAGAATGCGGTGCCGGAGAGCCCGGAGCCCGTGTGCTACGTGCTGGCTTTGCAGGAGACCTGTACGGAAGAGCAGATCGAGAGCGTGGCCAATGGATCGGCGGTGGTCAAGGACTACCTGGTGGTGGGGAGGAAGTGATTCAAGGGATTGGTGTTGTGCGTTGTGGACCAGATAATGGATCTAACAAGTGGTGGGTTTTGTTAGCACGAAACAATGTAGTCAGTCCACAGTAGGCTTTTTGAAGCCCGTCATGTAGTTATGTGGGAACATGTATAGTGATTGCACAAAACTTCAATCATATGTAAGTACACATAAAGTGGATAACCACTGCCCGTTCCCCGCTCTAGCCCGAACAGGCAGGCAGCCAGCTGACGGAACACTTTCTATACTTGGGCTGAAGAGTTCATATGGATCAACTTTCCCACTTTCTCGCCTCAATCTCCATTTTTCCCTCCCTGACAGCTAGACTTGTCTAGAATCACCATTCAGACAGGATCGACAATTGGCTTTTCCCCAGCCTTGCGATCCCTAGCCTCGAATCTGAGCATCCGGTCTCTGTTCCCAGGTCAATGCCTGGGTTATCGAACCTTCTCGAACCTTCTCTTGGCCCGGCCAGCGGGGAGACAGCGTCACACGTCACCGCAAGGGCTCACCTGAGGTGAAAGGCAAGCCCGCCCAACAACTACTGCATCAGACTTTCACCGTTTGTCTCCCTCCTACCCAACGAACACACCTGGCTTTCGTCTATTGTCCCGAACACGAAAAAACACCATCCCGATCACTCGCTTTCCCGCTTCTTTCCCTCCTCCCCCCTGCATCTTCCTTATCTTACTCCTCCCGAAAGTTCCGCGCTTACTGGACCTTCGACGGCGGTGGTGGTCAGTGGGCAGTCAGTCAGTGATCCTGTGAATCTTCTACGTCATTCGAGATCGTACTTCCTTCCCCGCCCGGTTTCGACCTTCCATCATTCCCCTTGACGCACACCCTGACCGGTGGTGTGATCCTCCCTCCTCGTCAATTGCTTATATTGGAGGCATCGAATTGCTCCAATTAGCGTTCTTCAGTACCTGATCACACCTGCGAAACCTGTCGTTTACACACTTGACCTGCATTTGAATCTTTTCGTTTGTCGACAACGACAACACCAACAACACACACACACACACACACACACATACACACATACACACACACTCCACAATGGTGGCTGAAACAAAGCTTTACGACGCCCTATCAATCAAGCCAGATGCTTCACAAGATGAAATCAAGAAGGCCTATCGCAAGGCTGCCTTGAAGTACCACCCAGATAAAAACAAGGACAACCCGGCCGCGTCAGAGAAGTTCAAAGGTATGCTTCACTTTTTTTTTTTTTTTCGCTCTGGGTTGTCCAGTGCACAGCTAACCTAGACTTTTGACAGAGGTCTCACAAGCATATGAAGTTCTTTCGGACCCCGAGAAACGTAAAGTCTACGATCAATTCGGTCTGGAATACCTCATGCGGGGCGGACCGCCTCCGACGAGTGGCGATGCCGATGGTGGTGCCAACCCCTTCGCCGGAGGGATGCCCGGCGGTTTCTCGTTCGGTGGCATGCCTGGAGGCGGAGGAGGCGGCGGCGGCGGCGGCACCCGTACGTTCCACTTCTCGACTGGACCCGGTGGAAGCAGCGGATTCCGATTCAGCAGTGCGGATGATATCTTCCGGAACTTCGCCAAAGCCAGCGGTGGCATGGGTGGCATGGGCGGCGGCGGCGGCATGGATGAAGACGACCTCTTCTCGATGCTCGGTGGCGGCTTAGGTGGTGGCCGGGGGTTCCGAACCAACCGCGGGTCGACCGGGTTCAAGCCGTCTGCGCGTGCCCCGACGCCGGAGCCCACCGTCATGGAGAAGGAGCTGCCGCTGACGTTGGAGGAGATTATGAAGGGCGTGACGAAGAAGGTGACAGTCAAGAGCAAGACGTTTGATCCGGCGACCGGCAAACGTACCGTGCAGGATGTCACACTGGAGGCGAAGATCAAACCTGGTCTACGCACGGGATCGAAGCTCAAGTACCGTGGCGTGGGAGACCAGGAAGAGGGCGGAAAACAGGATGTGCATCTGATTGTCACTGAGGTAGGTTTCTTGTCCTGTCCTAAACATTTTGCTTGTGGTTTACTAACGCTCTGTGCAGAAAGAACACCCCAATTTCAAACGCCAAGGCGACCACCTCATCACAACGGTCGAACTCAGTCTGAAAGAGGCCCTTACCGGCTGGGAACGCATTGTCCGCACGATCGACGGCAAGTCCATCAAGGTTTCCAAGCCGGGACCCACGCAACCGGGATACGAGGAACGATATCCGGGCCTAGGTATGACCGTGTCGAAGAAACCGAGCGAGCGGGGTGACCTGATCATTCGGGTCAATGTGCGGTTCCCTGCTAGCTTGACTGCAACCCAGAAGGAGGTGCTGCGGGACATTCTTCCTTGATTTATTTCGTGCAATATTCCCATCATAGTATTGTTACTGCTTTTGATGTTTTCGAATTACCAGGGATCGGATTAGCATAGTTGGCGTTTGGGCGTGAGCGGCTGGATCGCTGAGGATGATGGAACGATGATGATTGATGACGGAGGGTAGTTTAGATTCGAATATACTTCGAATAAAAGTAATACTCAAGTTGATTTGGGCTGTAGTAGAGTAGTAGGTAATCGACATGAGTAAGTTGTATAACCGGGCGTGCGGCAAACGTCGAGTACAGTTAACTTACGAGTACTGTCTGTCGTCTGTGGTAAAGAGCTCTAGCTCTGGCTACGTGCTTATCGATAACGATAACCACCGATAAGATAAGCACGCGACCAATCCCCCGGCCAGCAGACCGCCAACCCCAACGTCAACATTCAAGCGTAGCTTAAGCTCCATTTCCCTCTCCATCTCCTCACCTAGGTAGCTTCACCACATTACCTCTGACCCTCCATCTATCCAGCAACCTCATCTCCAAGACCCAATCCACCAATACTTATTACTCTTTCTACCACAGCCTCGCTCCATCACCCCATCTCTTCTACACATAAGATAACACAACTCAACACCCATTGGAATCCCATCAGACCCACCGAAAGAATGGTCCCCCCCGTGAACCGCAGAACAACCTACCTCCAAGACCCCTCCACCCCCTTCGACCCCTCTCAAGCCCGTCTCCTCCCCCAGCGCCTGGAGATCCGGAACTTACACAGCGCCAAGCAAGAACGGTTGACCGTGCCGGTTGAGTTGTTGCTGTCCGGTACTGACGATGGTGGGTGGGATGCCGAGGTATGTTTCCCCCCTTCCCCCCTTCCCCCTTCCGCTGACCTTGCATCTTCGGTGTGTGTGTTAACGGTGGGCGATATCGTATCCAGGTCCGGGAGTTTTTGGGAACCGGTGTGCAGCGGTTTAGTGTAAGGTGGGCTTCGTTGCGGTCGGGATCGGGAGCGGGGGATGCTGCTGCTGGCGCTGGGGGCGCGGTGACGCCGTTTGCGAGTCGGGTTTCTGGGGGGTTGCATGTTTTTTTGAGGCCCGGTGGGGGCCAGGAGGGGGAGGGGGTCAGGAGGTGGGTTTTTCTTTTGGCTTGGTATGGTTCTGTTCTATCTTGGGGGTTGGGGTTGGGGTTGAGTTTGGGGAATGCTGTGGAGCTTATGCTAATGGGTTGTTAACCCCAAGTGACGCTGTGTGTCGTGTCCTGAAGAAGGTTTTTGGGTCGGAGGTTGCGAAGTGTGTCGATTATGAGGTATGATCTGTTTTTTTTTTTTTCTTTTTTTTTTTTTTGGTATCATTGGGCCTTTGGTGGCAGGTTGGGTTCGGAGTGCAGGTCTGGGCTGCAGGATTGAGATGCAGATTTGTGGGAGTTGGGGGCTACGGCATGGAGGCTAATCTTTTTTCATTTCTGGCTAGAAATCTTTCACTAGGTCCGATACATCGTCCGAATACCAGTTTTACTCGCCTTTGGCGTCTTTGGAGGGCTTTGTGGATTTTGTTCGGGAGAAGGGTTGTGCGTTGGATACAGCAAGAGAAGAGCCGTGTCGTCGCCACGCCCGCGAGTTGCTCGCCGCGGACTCGCTGGATCTCGCCTACGATGCTGACTCGCGCAATCTGGTGGTGTCTGCGATCTGGGCGGATGCGCCGGGGGGCGAGGGGTGGACGGAGGATCTGCACGCACCGGCTGCTGGGTCCAAAGGGAAGATGGAGGTTGGGTTGCTGGGGGCTGAGAGGACGGCTGACCCGGAGGAGATCAAGATGGGTGGGCTGCTGGGGGTGGTCGGGGAGGATGAGAAGTTGAGTATGTTTGTCTTCTTCACGCATACACGGAGAGAAAGCGCCACAAGCTAACTCGTGTGCCCCGATTGATTCTAGAGCCGACGCTGTTTTCATTCGCTTCCAGACACCATGCTCTCCCTCGGGATGCGACCTTCTCGGTGGAGTTCCCCCTGCCCACGGGCTTACATCCTACGATGGCCATCTCCCTATCGCCCGCCGCGCTGCAACCCCCGGACGCAACCTGTGCCCTGCATACGTATCTCACGCTGCCGTCCTATCTATTCGGCGACAAGTACCAGCTGGGCACCGAGGATCCGCTGTTCTTGGATTCGCACCACCTGGTCAAGTTGCTGTCCGTGACGGGCGAGACGGACCTCGAGGCGCCGGACTGGTCCGTGTCGCAGTGGGGGTCGAATTGGCTGCTCGAGCTGGCAACGCCCCCTGATGATCAGTATCCCGAAGAATGGAACGTGACCATCCCGCTTCATTTGCGGTACTTGGCCCCGTCGGAAAGCGGTTATCGCTCGGTCGGGGTCCCCTGGCCTGTGGTGTTCTGGGCGTGTGCCGCCAGTGAGGAGGCCAAGATGCATTTCAACCCCTTCGATCGTGTGGACCTCGGGTGGGAGGGGCTTTTTGCGCCCCAAACCATATTCTACCAGGTGAATCCAGCTGCAGAACAGGGTCGGCTGGTCGAGGAGATCAGCGTGCCCGTGCTAAAGGAGACCGGCTTCTTCAACAGCAAGACCATCGAACTCGGCACGGTACTCGCCATCGTCCTGGGTTCGCTCTGGGTGCTGTGGAAACTCGGCGCCGTGATGCGGACCTCTGGTACTCGCAGAAGCGTAGAGAGCCAGAAGAAGTCCCAGTAATTCGTTTGCCTTGCAGGAAACCCTAGCGTTCATCCGAGAGATTATAACCGGTTCTATATCCATCATCGTTTTCAATCTGATCGCCTTATTCTCTGTTCGGAACTCAGCTGGTAGAAACCGACCCGGCCCCGGGAGTCTCCGCCAAGGGCCCCGGCATATCGGTGTACATGAACCGTTCCATGTCGAAGTGCTGGAGACTCGGCATGTCAACTAGTAGATCACTCAGCCAGGAGAACCCTGGATAATCGGCCAGCGAATGATGCGGCTCCGTAGTCGACGCAGGCTGTCCCGCCTCGATCTGCGACGTCGAGGCAGCCGAGTGCACGTGCAACACATCCTTGAGCACTTTGGTGTCCTCCTCCTTCTGCCGCTGGTGTAGGAGCATGAGCAGGTACGCCGTGCTGTAGGCCTCCCGCATGACCTCGGTATCGTACGCCGCCACGACCTCGCGGAGGGTGGACATGGCGTCGCCCAGCATCATCAGCGCCGCCCGGTTGTCGATGGCCAGCAGCGTACACACGACCTGGAACGGCACGTTGGCGGCCTGATGCCAGGGACAATTCGACGCCACCATCTCGCGCGCCGCGCGGAGGCCCTTCTCCGCGAGGGCCAGAACCCGATCGAGCAGTGCCCCGGAGATGATGCAGTTCAGTGCCCGGAGGCGACGGTAGATGCACAGCATCAGATTACATTGGACCAGAACCAGCGGGGGCTGGGTGAGCGCCAAGTTCAGAATGTCCGTCAGCGCGCATTCCAGGGCGGGCGCGTCCTGCGTCTTGTTGGGGTCGAGGCTCTCGGACATCGGGAGCAGGCCGAAGATCTCCGTCGGCTGGCTCGGCGAGCGCGGCGTCGGCGGCAGCGATGTGGCGCCGTGCAGGACCACGCGCGACCGCGCGAGCTCGAACGATATCCACACGTTCAGATGACGGGCCATGCCGAAGAGCCGGCGGCGCAGTTCCGGGTCGCACGGTTCCACGGGTTGGCTGAGGGCGGTGGTGGTGGTGGTCGTGTCGCCGCCGCCGGGGAGTTCGAGATGCAAGCCCGTCGCTTCGATGAGGTGCATCAGCGAGCAACTGGCCATCCAGGCGGCGTTCGGCGTGGCGGTCATGCGGAGGTAGGCCACGCGCAGCACCCAGGCGGTCACCAGGTCCACGGACGGCGGCGCATCGGAGACCATGTGCTGCTCCAGCATCAGCCGGGCGCTCTCCGCCAGTTGCAGCTCCGCCGGGGTGGCCGTCCGCTGCGAGAACAGGCAGCCGAGCGCTCCGACGCCGCACAGAACCGCGTCGAACGCGCCGTAGGCGAGGGCGGACTCGGCCGTCGCCGGGAGCCACCGTCGGCTCAGGTTGCGCAGCAGGTCGTCGCGCTCGATGAAGCTGTAGCACGGGTCGACCTTCTCGAAGAACACGGCCACCAGTGCGCGCATCTCATCCTGCGAGATCTGTTCCACAATGGGCAGGGCCTTGACGGCGGAGAAGGATGCAGCCGCGGCCGGGGATGGGGAAGGAGAAGGGTGCCGGGCCCCCATGTTCCAGGCGAAGAGATGCAGTTTGGGCGCGTTGGTCGGGTCGATCTTGAGCCCGAGGCGTCTGGCGAATGCAGCGCCGGAGTTGGCGTCCAGCGAGTTGAGCCGCGCCGCGGTCTCATCGGGCGAGGGTTTGGAGGTTGAGTCGACTGACCGGCTGCTGGCGGCGAGGCTTCCTCCACCTAATCCATCCGGCGTGAGGCTGGGCAGACCCCCCAGGAACGGGGCGGACTGCAACTGGAACAGCCGCACGTCGCGCTTCTTGCGCGACTCCAGGTCGTAGTGGCAGTCCACGCCGAACTGGACGCAGGTCGAACACGGCTGGTCCCCAGTGCATTTGCGCTTGCGCGATTGGCACGAGGTGCAGGCCACTCGCGAGCGCTTTCTCGGGGGTTCGGTCATGGCGCGTGTCTGGGTGGTGCATATTTCAGCGAGCTTGATGTGATTCCCGGATCATGCGGAGCGGTTGTGCTGGTACAGTCAATGTTGGTTGACTGGGGTTGTTTGGGAGTTGATTTGGAGGGGTCCAAGCGAATCGACTTGTTGAACTACACGCGGAGAAGAACATGTGATGTTGTTGTTGTTGTTGTTGTTGTCTTGCATAGCTGAGTCAGCGGTGTGATTCGGGCTGCACTAGGCAGATGCATACGCTATCTCTATCTCTACCTAGTAACCTAGTGGCTATGTGGCTATCAATGGGCAAGATAACGCTTGAGTACGGAGTATGGTGAAAGAAGTTCGTTCCTCATCGAAATGCTTGGCCGGTCAATTGCAAGATTGTCTGCATTACGATAAATTGACAACAGATGTCGGTGAGAAAAGGATTCTCTCCTGGCCAACCAACGGACCCTAGAATCGACCTGGTCCGGAAGTCTTGCCCAAGGAAAAAAGGTTAACAACTTGCATGGCAGTTGATGGCAGTTGACAACTGCGGTGAAGAGATTGAGTTGATATCGAGGATGGGAGGTGATCTATCGAATTGTTGAGGATCCCCTGCATGTGTGGAACAGCCGTGAGTGAGTGCATTCGGGCAAGATCATCGGAGATCCAGCCTGCATCCGGAAGCCGTTGCTCCCGGCCATTCATCCATCCATCCATCCATCCCTAATGGTGGGTCGGCTGCTGCTGGAGGCGATAATAGCCCATCCAGTCGTGCCTTTGCAGCATGAATTGCTAAAGATACCAGTACAGTACGGAGATATCTATCCTGAGGTCAAATGGATTTTCCCTACGGCTCTACAACCCATACACCACTTCACGAACGCTGGGGCTTAATCAGTGTGTCATTTGTCTTATCAGGGCCATTGCTGGCTTCTGGGGTAAACGATGATATTAGTCAAGGATATCCCCAGATGGCTGTTGGGGAGGCAAGATGTTAGGTAATAAATGGGGCCCAGCAGCAATAGATCCATTCTGTGGTGGAGGAGTTACATCAATACTAATCGCGAGTACGGTACGGTTCGGTTCGTAGTGAGTCACGGACTCACGGCTCAGGGACGGAGGGGAGTCTGCCGTCGAAGAAAGATACCATCGGAGGCAATTCCAATTATTCACGGTGAATAACAGCAGTGATAAATCCTGGCCCAAGAAAAAAAAAATCCTCAGTCCGATAGCGGGAGGCAATAGCCCGCTTCCGATTGGCGGGGAACCAGTGAAAGAGAAGAAAGGAAAGCACGTGCCCAGGCCGACCGGGCCGGCGGTCGCTCTTTCTTTTAATCCCCTCCCCTTCGCTCCCTTCTTTCTTTCTCCCTCCTTCCTTGTTTCTGACTCACTCAATCTCCCATCTTCATCAATCCATCCTACCCTATATCTCCGTGCATCCACACCCTTCAATGTCTGTCTAATCAGACTCATCTCTTACTTCAACTCAAATAAAGACTGGTAACAGCACCGTCGCGCTTATGCGTTTGGCACCTTCCGTCTTCACCTCTCAGGTATGAGCCGACCCCCTCACTATGAACTCAAGCAACAAGAAACTAACCTCGACCCCCAACAGGACTACATCTCGGATCACCTCTGGAAAGCTTCCGGAAACTTTTGAATAGCCACCACAAACATCTGCCACTTCTTCACTCCTCGTCACATCTAAACCATATCACATTATGTTCGCTCGACTCTTCAAGGCCATGCCCGCCCGGGCCCAGGCCTTCCCTTCCGTGAATGCCTCCGTCCAGTCCCGCTTCATGGCCACCGTTCGTCAGGGACGCCCGGCCACTGAACGCGCTACTTTCACGATCCGAGATGGTCCGATCTTCCACGGCAAGTCCTTCGGAGCCCGCTCCAACATCTCGGGTGAAGCCGTCTTCACCACCTCCCTTGTCGGATATCCCGAGTCCTTGACCGACCCCTCCTACCGTGGTCAGATCTTGGTTTTCACCCAGCCCTTGATCGGTAACTACGGTGTCCCCTCCGCTGAGCGGGATGAGCACGGTCTGCTCAAGTACTTCGAGTCCCCCAACCTCCAGGCCGCCGGTGTCGTCGTCGCCGACGTCGCCGAGCAATACAGCCACTGGACTGCCGTCCAGAGTTTGGGCGAGTGGTGTGCCCGCGAGGGTGTTCCCGCCATCTCGGGTGTCGACACTCGTGCCATCGTCACCTACCTCCGTGAGCAGGGTTCCTCCCTCGCTCGTATCACCGTCGGAGAGGAGTATGACGCCGATCAGGATGAGGCCTTCGTCGACCCTGAGCAGATCCACTTGGTTCGTCAGGTCAGCACCAAGGCCCCCTTCCACGTCAGCGCGGCCAACTCCCAGTGCCACGTCGCTGTCATCGACTGTGGTGTCAAGGAGAACATCCTGCGCAGCTTGGTCAGCCGTGGAGCCAGCATCACTGTCTTCCCCTTCGACTACCCCATCCACAAGGTCGCTCACCACTTCGATGGTGTCTTCATCTCCAACGGCCCCGGTGACCCCACTCACTGCCAGGATACCGTCTACAACCTCCGGCGCTTGATGGAGACTTCCCAGGTCCCCATCTTCGGTATCTGCTTGGGCCACCAGCTTCTGGCTCTGGCCAACGGTGCCCGTACCGTCAAGCTCAAGTATGGTAACCGTGCTCACAACATCCCTGCCCTGGATCTGAGCACTGGCCGCTGCCACATCACCAGTCAGAACCACGGTTACGCTGTAGATGCGGATACCCTTCCTTCTGACTGGAAGCCCTACTTTGTCAACCTGAACGACGCTAGCAATGAGGGTATGATCCACAAGACCCGTCCCATCTTCAGCACCCAGTTCCACCCGGAGGCTAAGGGTGGACCTCTGGACTCGTCTTACCTCTTCGACATTTACCTCGACAGTGTGGTCAAGTACAAGAACAGCCAGTTGGCTTTCCAGCCTGGCCGTGAAACCGCTCCTAGCCCTCTCTTGGTTGACTTGTTGGCCAAGGAGCGTGTTGGTGTGCAGCCTACCATCGGCATGCAGAACGTGGCCGCTGCTGCCGCTGCCGCTGCCGTTGCTGCTTAAGAGATTCGTCGAATTGGGACTGGAGTTCATGGTTTGGGTACGGTTGGATCATATGCGGTTTCTTCTTTTGTCAAAATGGTTCGGTTCATAATTTGGGTACATTTCGAGTTTAATGTAGTAAATACATTTTCCTTCTCAGCATAGTCCTTTCTTGTGTTTTGTAGACTTGATTTCATTAGTCGTAGCGCAGCTGTCGATGTCCTTTTGGCAGGTCTCAACTGGCTTCTTTTTTAAGTGCCAATTCTCCGTCAAGCGGTTTTTGACTAACTGATATTCTTTAACCTTGAAAATCACTAAGTCATTATTTCGCCACGATCGAAACCACGTCCTCATCCGACACCACATGTCCCAACCCCACCCGCTGAGGGATGTGTCGGGCGCTGGCACCCCACACCATGGCATACTTGAACGTCTCCTTTAGCGTGCGATGGATACTATCACAGACATCCTCGATGGTGGAATTGTGCCGGACGATCAGCGCCTCGGAGAAATCGGGCTCCTCTCCTTTCCTATAGCAGACGTTAGCTTCCGATCACCGTTGAAGACAGGGCCCGGGGCCCGCGTACCGCTTCGTGTAGACGCGAATCAAGCGGAGTTCTTTCCAGATGCGCTCGACGACGTCCTCGACGCCGAGGTCGAGCTCACAGCTCATGACGGCGGTGTAGGGTTCGCGGGCGAGCTGGTCGAGGAAGTCGAGGCTGACGCCGTCGATTTTGTTGTAGACGTAGAGACTGTTTTGCATCCTTGTTAGATCTTCTCCCTGCCGCAGGGGGGGAAGATGGAACTGTCCATACCATCTGATGTATTTGCGGTGGTCTTTCATGATCACGTCGATGAAGTCGTCGATTGTCGCTGGTGGTGGTGGTATGTGGTGTTAGTTTCCGGAGGGGCTTTGTGTCCTAAACAAGATGGTGGGGGATAAGGATGTACCATATTCGTCTCGCACGAGGACCTCGCAGTTCAGCATCTTGTAGTCACGGAGCACATTGAAGATGATCTTCTCGTCGAGGTACTTGGGGGGCGTCTGGAAGGTGATCTTCACACCGCCGGCCTTCTTCTGTTTGAGGTAGATGTTCCTGTGGGGTTGGATTAGCTCTGAGCCACGGGTCGAGAGATCTCGGCAGAAGACGTACGGCGGTTCCTTGTTGAGACGAATCCCAACGGCATCCAATTCCGCCTCGAGCAGGGCTCGTTGCTCCGCTCGTTTCGTGGCGTCCAGGACCATCAGCACCAGGTCACTTGTCTACACCCCACCCGCCCCAAAACACGAGAGTCAGTATCCAGCGCGACCAGAGGTGTGCGTTGATCACACCATAGTGGGGTTTCCAGAAAGGGAGAAAAGGGAGTCTGCTTGCTGCCTACCTTCGCCGCGGAGATGACCTGCCGTCCGCGACCCTTCCCTTCGGCCGCCCCCTCGATGATCCCGGGCAGATCCAGGATCTGGATCTCCGCGCCGCCGTACTCCAGGACGCCGGGGATGGCCGTGAGCGTGGTGAAGGCGTACGCCGCGGTCTCGCTCTTGGTCTTGGTGATCTTGCTGAGGAAGGTGGATTTACCGACGGACGGGAAGCCGACGAGCGCGACCCGCGCATCGCCGCTCTTGCTGACGTCGAACCCGGTGCCCCCGCCGCCGGAGGCCCCTGTGGGTTCCAGGAGCTGGGCCCGCAGGCGGGCGAGTTTCCTGCGGACGGGTGGTCAGTCATCTGTCTTGAATCTTCAGGGGAAACTAGAGGGGCATGGTTGATGAGGAAAAGGGAAAACGGGGATTGAATAACGTGACCCCTGACCTACCCTTTCAACAGACCAAGATGGTACTCTGACATATAGAGGCCTGATGTTAGGATCGCTTGATCTCCATGCATGCAATCCTCTAATAAGGGTCACCCACCTGTGGCCTTGTTCTCTATTTGCGCGGGTTAGCATGGCATGGGCATGGCG